CACACACACACACACACACAGACACACAGACACACACACACACACACACACCGAAGCATGAGGTTAATGATCTCTATTTAGTTTAAGTGCATTACTGTTAAAATGGTTTTAGTCTTCATTTGAACTGAAGGATGATGCGGTGCATCAGATATTGTCACTAAACTTATGAAGCGGTTTCTCAGACGTTTGAACACAAGAGGTCAGTGTTTGTCAAAGGATCACACACTCTCACACACACACACACACACACACACACTCACACAAACACACACACACTCTCTCACACAGACACACACTCACATACACACACACCCACAGACACACACACACACTCACACTCACACTCACACACACACACAGACACACACACACATCTGTTTTTCTGCTGTCTTCCAGACACACCTGCAGAAACACCAGACGAAGCATTAAGCTCCACAGACACAATCAACCACAGACGAGTCCGTCGGTTTAATTTGTGTAGTTTTGTTCTTAATCCACATGGTTTAAAAGCAGCTGCACAGAAATCCATAATGTTAATGTTTCCAATATCTTAATGTCTCACAGTCACAGTTCAGAGCTGGACTTACATTTCGTTTCAGTTTACGTTTATATAAACATCAACCAGATGAGATTTGCTATTAGTACATATGGCTTTGTGAGTATGTGTATACAGCTAAATCTGGATCTATAGATAAAGCCATTGGATTTGTGCTGATATTGAGCATTATGAAAAAACATTTTAGCTTTGATTTATAACATTTTGGTGTCACGACAAACTAATTATTACTGAATCACATGATTAAAATGATGCATATTAGTTTAAACGTGTGTGCGTGTCTCGTCTCCACACGCGATGGTCCTGTAGGGAGACATCTGGAGTTCAGGAAACTCTGCAATCTGAATGCAATCAAACGGAGTTCCCTGAGAGTCAGCACACGCGGCCCATGACACAACTCTCCACGCTCCTCCAGATATTAGCAGCAAACATGAAGCAAATGTGGATCTGGAGTTTGGGGGATTCCTCGCTGACCTCACAGCGCCTGAGATTCTCAGAAAACACACAGGATTAATAACTAACATGAATCTGTGTGTGTGTGTGTGTGTGTGTGTGTGTGTTTTCTCTGCGCAGGCTGGGGTCTGTGTGCGGCCAAGGCTCAGCATCCCATCGCTGACATGGTGAAGATGTTGAGAGAGCAGGGCAAGACTGAGGTCAGATGCAAAAAAAGGCATATCTTACTTAGTATTTTTGCCTTGTTTCCAGTCAAAATATCTAATCATTTCTTAAATCAAGAAGGATTTTCCAGACAAGTAAAAATTATTGTCTTGTTTTCAGAAAAAAACAAACAAAGTTTTTGCTTAGAACAAGCAAATGGGGTAACTAAAATAATCTTGTTTTCTGTTTGGAAAAAAAAAGCACAAAAGCAGTGTTAAGTCGCTGGGGTATATTTGTAGCAATAGCCAACAATACATTGTATGGGTCAAAATTATACATTTCTCTTTTATGCCAAAAATCATTAGGATATTAAGTAAAGATCATGTTCCATGAAGATATTTTGTAAATGTCCTACCGTAAATATATCAAAACTTAATGTTTGATTAGTAATATGCATTGCTCAGAACTTCATTTGAACAACTTTAAAGATGATTTTCTCAATATTCTGATTTTTTTGCACCCTCAGATTCCAGATTTTCAAATATTGTCCTATCCTAACATATTATTTATATAAATCTTAATTTACAAAAATGGACCCTTATGACTGGTTTTGTGCTCCAGGGTCACAAATTATGTCATTCTGCTTATCTAGTGCATGCATCTTAATTTAAGAATTGTTTTGATATTTTGACTGGAAACAAAAGAAAAATACTAAGTAAGATGAGCCTTTTTTTGCCGTGTAATAAGCTCCAGAAATAACGGCATGCCTGATTCTCACACTTCACGTCCAGAGTTTTAATGTCTTGAGCACTTGGCAGCTCAGCAGCGTAATTCTGTTAAAAAGAAGACAAAACACATCTGTGTCTAATAACAAAACACTGGTAAAAATGCAGCCCTTCTGTAAATAAAGAGGGAAAGTGTAAAACATTCTCCGAGTATTTAGACGCAGATGGAGAATTTACAGCATGAAGGATAAACTCCCATGTGTTCTGATGTCGAAAAGCTTCACGGTGAATCATTCTGATATAAACCTGATGAAATTAATTAAGTGCTATGCATTAAATCTGTTACATATTTAAATAACCAATCCAACCATCACATCAACTCTGAATCTTTAGTATCTGTCTACACTACCGTTAAAACATTTAAAAGAAGTCTCTTTCAAATCAAGGCTGCATTTATTTGATCAAAAATACAGTAAAAATTCCAACCGTTACATCAACTCTGAATCTTTACTATCTATCTACACTACTGTACAAACAGTAAAGTCTCTTTCAAACCAAGGCTGCATTTATTTGATCAGAAATATAGTAAAACAGTTAAATATTATTACAATGTAACATAGCTGTTTTCTATGTGAATATCTGTTAAACTGTAATGTATTTCTGTGATGCGCAGCTGTATTTTCAGCATCATTACTCCAGTCTTCAGTGTCACATGATCTTCAGAAATCAGTATAATATCCTGATTATTATCAATCGTGCTGCACGATATTTTTTTGTGGAAACCGTGATACATTTTATTTTTCAGGATTCACAGATGAACAGAAAGTTCAGTAGAACAGCATTCATTTGAAATGGAAATCTTTTGTAACATTATAAATGTTTTACTCTCACCTTTGATCATTTTAATGCATCCTTGAGGAATAAAAGCATTTATTTCTTTAAAAAAACAAAACAAGAAATGACCCCAAAGTTTCGAGCGGTAGAGTATATGTGTTAAATAGCACATGCAAAGTCCGTTTTCCTTTAAATATAAAGCGAGTGATTTGAGGTGCAGTGTGAAATGCGTCTCGTATCTGTCAGACGGATGAGCCGATGATCCACAGATGGCTATAAATTCGTTTGGCAGCGGTCGGGACACATGTGCACTCTGATCTTTGTAATAATTCACTTTGATATTGTAATTGTGCCTAGACATGCAACGCATCGCAGCGACCCCGTGTTGCAGCGACTGGCGTCTGTGCGGTCCGAGTCGGAGGGCAGCACGTGTTTTTGTTTAGCTGGCGCAGATAAGCATGTAGAGCGAGGAGAAACCCGATCCCATCGCATGAGAGCGGCTAATAGCACTTCTGATTGTTCTCGCTGTGTCTGTGCAGAAACTCAACTCAGCCGAGCCTGTGCTGGAAGTCTGGAAGTCCAAACAGGTGTGTGTTTACATTAGAGCTGTCAGTTAATTACATGATGTGCCAGTCGCAAATTAATCACACATCAATTTTGGTTCAGAAACCACCCTCCAAAAGATCACTTGACGTCACAATTGTGTTAAAATGAGAAAAGCATTCAATAGACATTACAAAAAGTAGCTTTAGAAAGAAATATTTTGATTCAACATTGCATAAATAATGACAATAAATTGGGTATTAATGAAATATGAAATGATGCTCTCAAAATGAAATTAAAAGCTGGAAGTCACTGTCTTAAAGGGATAGTTCACCCAAAAATGAAAATTCTGTCTTGATAATACAAAAAGTATTCTCGTAGCTTCGTACAATTACGGTTGAACCACTGATGTCATGTGGATAATTTTAACGATGTCCTTGCTACATTTCTGAGCCTTGATCGTAGTAATTACATTGCTGTCTTTGGAGGGTCAGAGAGCTCTCGAAATCCATCAAAAATATCTTAATTTGTGTTCCGAAGATGAACGAAGGTCTTACGGGTTTGGAACGACACGAGGGTGAGTAATTAATAACAGAATTTTCATTTTTGGGTGAACTAACCCTTTAATGAGTGAGTCATTGAATCATTCATTCAACCGATTCATTCAGAAATGAAGCAAGTCTTTATAAACGAGTCACTGAATCACTCACTCACTCAATTTGTTCCAAAACGTGGATTCATTCAGTGACGAATCAGCGCTGTGTGTCGATCAGAGACTCTACAGTTCTGCTGTGTCCTTGATTGGAACAATTTTCATTTGCGATATTGAGGAAAACGTAACAATATGAATTTCTTGTTTATTGAACTGTTGTATAAATCAGTATCACATTTGCAATCATGCAGATATTGGGGAAAACAGTTCTCCTGCTGGTGTGATATTGCTAAATTATATCAATTATATAATATCATATGATATAAATATAAGAGGGTGATTTCTTTGTCCTCATATCTTGAATTTTAGGCTCATATAAGTGCGTTCTAATAGACTCGATCATGCAGTCAGTCTTCCTGCATCGTTGCATCAATGCATTTTTTCCAGAACCGCACCAAATTAACGAGGTAAATCCAGTCCTAGTATGAACAGCAGCAGTGAATCAGTCATGACTGGAGTGTGTGTGTGTGTCTGAGTGAGTTTTTGTGTGTGAGTGTGTGAGCGAGTTTTTGTGTGTGTGTGTGTCTTGAGTGTGTGTGTGCGTGTCTGAGTGTGTGTGTGTGTGTGTGTGCACTGCTGGGAGACGCCAAGAAGACCTGCGACAGTTTACAGGCCAAAATCAGAGAGGCCTATTACTAACACACAGCTCCAGACACATGCACAAGAACACGCTTTATTACACATTAAAGTGGCTTAAAAACAAGAAGCCAATCAGTGAATGCATGCGGCTTTTGACTTGTAAATAAAACTATTTAAATCTCACTGTGACAGATTGCATTCAGCTTTCAAATAAAACGCACGTGACTGACGTTTTGACGTTCTCGTCACACTTTCCCAGCAGCCTGTTTGGCTTTGTTGATCAGTTTATGCAGGAATGAGAAGAAGAACAGCATGTTATCGTATTCTCCCGTGTACTCGGAGAAATAGTGGCTGTGCAGGTCCTTCAGAAAGTAGTAAACGGCCTCTATTGTGGCCAGGTACGTGTCTGGACAGCCTTTCTGGTGCCGCCAAAAACAGGTTCTTCTGCTCTTCAGCTCCACATTCGGTAACGCTGTGGAGAAATAACATCCGTTCAGTCTGAGATGAGCAGAAGAAATCGCCAAAAACTCAATTCAAACAGGTGAAACGATGCAAAAAAGCCCAAGCAACCAAACAAGACAATCAAAAAAAGCGAGTGAAGAATACCGTCAAGTTTTATGTGAATTTTGATTGTTTCTAGTTTATGGATTATCCAGTGTAACATTTGTGTTTTTAGTTCATTTATTTTGATTCACTACTCATTATATATAACTCAATTTATTTGTAATTAACATTTGCATATTTTTTTATTGTGATTCTGAGTCATGTGACACATGCAACCACTTAATTTTTTCTTGTTTTAACCCTTACATTGTGTTCTGGCCATTCTGACCAAGTACTTTTTGGGATTTTTCCCCCAACTTGTTACACTTGTTGCATTTGTGGTTAAAAATGACCAGCCTACAAGAAATCGCTTATAAATTTCTCAATGTATTATAATGTTACCCAATACTAGATTCAGTTTTTTGAAAGAAGCTTGTTTTCAGCACGAGGCAAAGGATGAGTTTTGCACCAGATATTGTAATTAGTCATTGAAGGTCACATTTCAGTTTTTTCTCTCGCACTTGCTTTTCTTCATAGTGTGCCGAATTTTACGCCTGAGTTAAACAAACAGAGAGATGTGAGAGTCTTCTGCACCTTGAAGACGTTCGTCTGTGATGATTCTGGTGGTCTGGTTCCAGGTGCTGTCGATGAACACCACTCTCTGGATCGGGCAGCTGTGCGTCTCGGGATCTGCGTCGGTCACCTTTAACCTCTTCACTCTCGGCTTCCCGTCGGCGGAGAAATGCTCCCACAGTTCCTCCACCGTCATGGCGTCGGGACCGGGAAACACCAGCACGATCTGCGGGAAGAACAGCGTGTGTTAACATGTCAAAATAGCTGAAAAACTAAATTCGAATTTTGTACTTAAATATTATCAATATTCGAATTATATTCGAATTTAAAAGGCATAATTTTAGTTAGAGGGGGATAAACGCTTTGGGCTTCTCTCTCGAGGCCACAAGAGGGCGCATTGAGCAAAATATTACTAATGCACGTTTCTTCAAAGCAATAAAATAACACTATCTTTGAAAAAAGTGCATAATGTTTAACTTAATATTTATAAACCATATATAATTAATTAAGTTGCTTAAACAATTAGAAACAAAACAGCATCATGCATGTTTGTATAGTTTAATACAAAGGACCGAAAACCAATCACAAAAAAGTACTTTTTTCATTTAAAAACATGAGATGCAGTGGGATGGGAAAACCCCCATAAAGTCTCGACGTGTTTTTTAAAAGTTGAACTTACATTAATGGCTTTCTAAACATGCGTCTCTTGTGCGAGACACGAGTGCAGCGGTGATAGATGTCCCTCTAGAAAATGTGATAAATATGCGTTCTGTGTGAACGGCTTGGTTTCAGTTTTGAGATTTAAATATTGGTTGTTGTTTTTTCGATTATGAGATTTACATGTTTGTCGGTTTTGTTCAATTTTGAGATTTACATGTTTGTGGTTTTGTTCGATTTTGAGATTTACATGTTTGTGGTTTTGTTCGATTTTGAGATTTAAATGTTTGTCGGTTTTGTTCGATTTTGAGATTTAAATGTTTGTCGGTTTTGTTTAATTACGAGATTTAAATGTTTGTGGTTTTGTTCGATTTTGAGATTTAAATATTTGTCGGCTTTGTTCGATTTTGAGATTTAAATGTTTGTCGGTTTTGTTCGATTTTGAGATTTAAATATTTGTCGGCTTTGTTCGATTTTGAGATTTAAATGTTTGTCGGTTTTGTTCGATTTTGAGATTTAAATGTTTGTCGGTTTTGTTTAATTACGAGATTTAAATGTTTGTGGTTTTGTTCGATTTTGAGATTTAAATATTTGTCGGCTTTGTTCGATTTTGAGATTTAAATGTTTGTCGGCTTTGTTCGATTTTGAGATTTAAATGTTTGTCGGCTTTGTTCGATTTTGAGATTTAAATGTTTGTCGGTTTTGTTCGATTTTGAGATTTAAATATTTGTCGGCTTTGTTCGATTTTGAGATTTAAATGTTTGTCGG